AGACATTTTTTTTTGGATCTCGTAATTTCAAAATGATTCATATTAATGTGTAGGATTTCACTATATATATACATATACACATCATGAGTGGAATTGTAAGGGTCTTCGAACAAAAAAGTCTCAATCATTTTTTGAAAAAGAAAAGCCAATCGCAATCGCATAGGTCTTGCTTATAGCCAATCGTGACAAAATAATTGTCTTTTGTCTCAAGGGCAAAGTCTTTTAATCCCAGGTTCTTTATCCAACTTTCCAAGTTGCGATACAATCCCCAGTCCAACTAATTAATTATTACTTTATTGAGATGCAATAAGTGATTCTTTTTTACTTTTTTAATGCATTAGTGCTATTAGTGATGATATTTTTAATGGGATGAATCATTGTTAATAAAATAATTGTCTTTTGTCTCAAGGGCAATGTCTTTTAATCCCAGGTTCTTTATCCAACTTTCCAAGTTGCGATACAATCCCCAGTCCAACTAATTAATTATTACTTTATTGAGATGCAATAAGTGATTCTGTATTTTCATGACATACAATTTTCACTCCTATTCATTCAGATCTTTATAAATTTGCAACAATATTTATCTCAATTTTTAATTTATAATTTTTCTATATATATATATTTTATTAGAAGGGTATCTCTACTCTAGAGCTTTGATTGGAATTAATCCGTAGATAATTTCTTATTTTTTATGAGGCATAAAGGCAATCTTAAGGGCTTAATTAAGTTTTTGGTCAAAGAGATGGTCCCAACTTAAGTATTCAAAGCTAGATTGTAAGAGAGAGAACATTTACTATGGAATTGTTTGGGGTATCTTAAATAAGTATATTTTTTGTCTTTTTAAATTAAAAAGTTAAGGAAAAAATATGAATATTTGTGTTAATTTCTTGATTTTTTATAAAAAATATGCATTAAAAAATTGTATAAAAAAATGTGTAAGAGAAGATTAGAGATGTGTCGTACAACCTGCGCAACCGATTTGATTGTAAGAAATTATTGGTTACGTTTCGGACATTGCACAGGACGATTTTGTTCGGCCCCGTGGGGGCCATCGCAGGTCCCATTTTGATAATCTGAACCGTTTAATGTGTAGAACTCGTCGAGTATTATATGCGAATAAAAAATTACGTTAATCGGATATCAATAACTATTTGATTATATTTGTTTTTTTTCAATCGTTAATTATAACATCATCTATTTTTTGTACAAAACTGATTTGATCATGTAGTTATCGATATCTAATAAATGTGATTTTTTACAGACATATAGTACTTGACGAGTTCTACACATTCAACGGTTCAGATTATCAAAACGGGATCCGTGATGGGCCTCCACGGTTCGATTCAATAATCACAACATTTTCATTTTATTGCATTTCTCTGTGAAAAATGGGCGACAAATACGTTTTTTAAAATAAATCATCTATTTTGTTGGAAACAAATATAATAAAATAAATACTACGATTATCAGGTCAACTTCATTTTTTTCATAAATGATATACACAGAAAGACTTACAAAATGAACAGTTATGATTATCGAAACGGAACATGTGATAGGTCCCATGAGCTTCTCAAGTCCTCTCAAATTAACCCCAAGAAGTTTGGCTTAGTGGCAGAAGAGGTAACTAGATTTATCACACAAGAGATTGAACGGTCAAATCTCATGAAAGTCAAACATCATAAATTTTGGGGTCACTGAAAGTTTGTCTGGTCGTTAATTTTAGAACCCTAAAATAAGTCGATATGTACGTAAACTAGTTTTGACACCAAATTATAAAATAAAAAAGAACGCTCTCTCAAATTTGAAACTCAAAAGAAACTAACTCTTATTTTATAAATATAATTTGTCAAATTATTGGTAGGGTTGAATTTGGGTTCCATCCGATTATATATATTATAAAAGTTTAAGTATGTTTTGAATGATTTTTTAGATTTTTTCAAAAGGAATTTGCAAAAAATAGAGGGAAAAGAAATTTTTTGATTTTTTGTATAATTTTTTATTTTTAAATTTTTTAATGAGCTTTTGACATTTTGATTTTTTTGAATTTTTCCAAACAAACCCACATATTAACGGCAACAAGGCAGATCATTTGCTTGCTCATATGGCCATCCAAGTGCATGAACAAAGTATTTGGATGGAAGGTGTCTCTCTCTCTCTCTCTCTGTGTTTTGACTAATAGAACCATATTTTTGTAAGTTGTTTGGCTGGTGCCTCCCATCAATAAATAAATGAAAAATTACACCATCAAAGCCACGAGAGGAGTTTTTTTTTAATTTTATTATTTTTAAGTGGATGTATTTCTTTAATTCTATTGTTTGGAAGCGCACAGCTTTTGCATACCTTGTGCTGCTTTTCATATTTTTACAATTTTATAACTAGTCCAAACAGTGGTAGAATTAGCCTTTTATCTGAAGGGGTGCCAATGCATAAAAATGGTCAACAAGAGTGGGTGACTAGTAAATAAAAAAAAATTGTAATACTTGTGGCTAAAGTGTTGAAAGTCAAGGTAATCAAATAAAGTTTCTCTCTAACATTTGCATCAAATGAGATCAAATAGTAAAAATGAACAAATATCAAACCTCAATATATTTTACCTAGACATGCTCTATAGTTGATCATTTTGGCTTCTACTTACAGTACGAGCACGAGCACTTGTTGTGCGTTTGAGATTTTCATAAGTTTATACATATGTGTTTATTTGATCTGATTTTTCTTTACTTGGTGTAAACTTATCTTTTGGACGATTCCCGTTTGTAAGTGTCATTTGGCTTGAGTAATGAACATTTCTTTCTGATCAAAATAAATATATTTTACTTCATTTTATTTTTATAAGTCCTAATGAAATTGAAATATTAAAAAAACTTATCGGTATCAAGAAAATCAAATAATCACAAAAAAAATTAAAGAAGTCTTGTCTTCTTCTTCCTCCGCTTCTTTAATCACAATGGTAAATATCAAAAAAAATTTCAAGATCAAGAAAATCAAATAATTAAAAAAATATTAAATGAGTCTTTTCTACCGCAACTTTAATCACAATGGTCAATCTAATCACAACTACTTGACGTTGGGGATGCCAATAGCTAAGCGGCCATGAGTCCAAGATTCTTAATTCTTTGTGTAATTATTTTACATTTTTATTTGTTTGGAGCTTAAATGGGAAATTTCAAAATGATGTCTTTTATATTTAGAAGTTAATTTAATTAATATTATATTTTTAACATAGTACTATTTTGTCTAAAAATCAAATAATTCCTTTACATCTTTAAATCTTTCTTCTTCTTCTTCTTCTTTTTTTAAAAAATAAATAAATAAAACTTTTAAATTAATATGTAACAACATTAATATGCATGGTTTTTTACTACAAATTTTTACTAACAAAATTGACAACAAATAATATATCATGCGACAACATGCCTAACAAAAATTTAAAATTTTCAATTCATATATAGTCAATAGGTTTTTCATTTATTGTATTAGGCTTTTTATTAGTTTTTAACAAATGCAAAAAATATAATAAAAAAATCATAAAAGTGGAATCAATTTTAAAATTTTGAAAAACTTTAAAAAATATATATATATATATATATAAATTATTATTATTATTTTAATTTTCAAAACAAGTTTTCACTCATTCTTTTCACTATTTCATTGCTTTTGTTCTTTTTTTACTGTCTCATTATTTTTGCTCTCCACTCACGACCATTGGCCGATTGACTTCCGATCACCCTCCATAAGATTTGACAACTCTTCGGGCACTCCCGATAACGTTCTACTACCACCTCTGGAGACATGCTGACCACCACTTCAGTGAACTACCACATTCGATTACACATTGTTGTGACTTATGGCAATTCACAAACATAATACTTTACATTATTTTTAATTATTTTCAAAATGTATACTATATATTATGAAAGTTTTTATTCATTGTTATTTTTTTGTAAAAATATATAAAACTAAGAAAACTTACAAGGTTATCAAATGACCCTTTAGTAGTGCAAACGAGGATTAAAAAGGAAAAAAAATAAAATAAAAGAATGGTTATCACTCACTAATTCATATATTTTAACAAAAATGATTGGGAGCTCTAATAGAAGTGGATCCCACTGTGATGTGATATTTTGGCCTATTTTTTTTATTTTTTATTTTTTTATTGTCTGCTACATCATTAGAGGATGTATCATTGCTCATATTTTAATTGGATTAGACTTTTCTCATGTTTGTATTTTAACATAAGAGAACTTAAAGAGCTTGTAGAGCTCACTGCAAGTCTCATTTTGATGATCTAAACCACTCACTTTTTAGAATTAATTGAGTAAAATATTCATGTCAAATATTAAGATAATTGGATATCGGTAGTTATATATTTGAATCAAATTTGTATTAGAAAAAATGAATAGTTATTCTTGAAATTATATTTATAATCTATTTTTTTAATGCAAATAGTTATCAATGTCTAATCATCTTAATTTTTTACAAAAATATTCTATTCAATGAATTTAAAAAAATAAACGACTCAAATTACTGAAATCGATTTAAAAATAGGCCTACAAAATTCAAATACTCTCTTCAATTAAGATAAAAATTTAAAAAAAAATCAAACCCATTTTAATTCACCGAAAAATTGTAGGCTTGATTTTTTTTTTTTTTATTTAAATTTTGTAAGTTCGTATATGTCGGCATATCTAGTTTCCATTCTACCATAGCACCTTGTGCCTCCATTTGGCAAGCAAAAAGTCAGGCTTTTTTGGTTAAAATAGCCACAAAAAATAAAATAGGCTATTTTAGCCACAAAAAACAAAACATCAAATCCAACCCATAATCATTACAATCCTCTCTCACAAAAAAAACCAAAAAAGTCAAAAAGTCCTTCCCAAACTAGGCTAAAATAGCCCAGGCTAAAATAGTCAAAAAGCCAAAAAGCCAAAAAGCCAACCCAACGGAGGCTGTGTATGCCAAGTGTGCATTGTCCACATCATTATAAATAAATGTATCACGATTCTTCCACACCCCCCAAAATCAAGTTTCATCTAACCTCCACTTCCACTCCACCTTCGTCTTTTTTTGGGTGAATGACCTCCACCTTTCTCACCTTCCAAACAAAACCATTCAAACAGAGAAAGAAAGGGCATATACATATACATAACCATATACAGAGAGAGATCTACACACAAAAATTGAAAAGAAAAGAGATGTGTAGCAGCAATGGAGTGATTCCAAGAAGCGACCCTCGCTTCTCTCTCCTCCCAACCAACCCTTCCCTCCCCTCCATCACCACCACTCGGCCCAACCCTTTTCTCCGCCTTTCCTTCCCCACCACCACCCACCTCCCCAGACCCCATGTTTCGTTACGGACCCGGGTCGGGTCATTCACAACCAAGGCCGCCTTCAACGATGGCGGCTCCGTCGCGTCGCTGCCGGTGATGGATACGATGAGCTTCTACGACCTTCTTGGCATATCGGAGACTGGGTCGCTGGTAGAGATCAAGCAAGCGTATAAGCAGTTGGCCCGGAAGTACCACCCGGATGTGTCTCCCCCGGACCGGGTCGAGGAGTACACACAGAGGTTTATTCGGGTCCAGGAGGCATATGAGACGCTGTCGGATCCGGGTCGGAGGGCTCTGTACGACAGCGACATGGACAGAGGGCTTCACCTTGCGTTCTCGGCTCGCAGGCGATACCACAGCGATGAGGTAATTATTTGGGTATTTTGGGATTAATTTGGTGGTGTTCACTGTGTGTTTTGATTTGGGTTTATGTTTTTTTATTATTTTTTTATTATCTGATTTGTAGTTATTTGGTGGTATTTGATTTTGGGTTTTGCTTCGATTGAGTTTTTTTATTCAAATTCAAATTCTGTGTTTTTTCTTGCTTTGCTGTGTATTTTTGGGGATTGAATTTCTGGACCAAACAGCCTGTGTGTTAGTAAACTTTATGATCTATGCATGCACATGTGTAGGTGCTTATGGAGTTTATTACACAAAAATTTAAATTCAGCTTTCCATTGGTTTATAGCATTTGTGGCTTTCTTTCATTAGCAACTATATTAGGTTCATATGCGGACTCTTAAGTACTGAAGTTATCATTTGCAACTATATTAGGTTCATATGCGGACTCTTAAGTACTGAAGTTATCATTTGGTTGCCCCAATTTTCAACTCTTAATATACTTTCATGAGATTTTGAATGTTTGTGGGTGATGTTTTGCTTATGTTCTCAATAGAACTTCATTGTTTTACATGAATTATTGCTTATTTTATTAGTATTTTTTTTTCTAGTGTAACTTGCTTATGTATGGGTTGATTTGGAAGAAGTTAGAGCATCTCTAACGCATCATCACCAAATTTGATAAAAAGTTTGATCTCATATCATACATTCCAATGGTAAATTTAAAATTTTCATCAAATCTTGTTAGAAGCCCGGTTGTCCGGGAGGACATCCGGCCATGGGTGGAAATTGATGTTCAGATAAAGAAAGGCCGGTTATCTGAACTGATGTCCAGCCCAACGCCCCCTACAAAATTTAATGAAAGGATGAACTCCCTTGATTTGATGGACGGTTGGAGCTTGGTTTTAACGCGTAAATTTGATGAAAATTTTGATGAATGATCGGAGATATCCTAATGAAAGTTTAGTTCATCAATTTTGGGGGTTGTCAAGATTTTACGTTTTATTTATTGATTATTTGTTTCTCTGTTTTCTGTCTTTTGCTTATATTGGATATCATAACTTTTTTGCCCTGCGGGGGAGGGGTATGTTTGTCAACTTCATCACTTTGCCTTGCATTTAATTGATCTCTTTATAAAATAAAATAAAAAAGAGAGAATTTTTATTTAGATTAAAAATATCCAAGAATAATGGGGTGTTGATGCATCTTTTGTTAAGGAGTTCAAAAAGTAGTTATTTCTCATATATGTATTGGTGTCCTTGGCAGACAGAAGACTGGAATAAGTTTGTTGTGCTTTACAAACCATTTGAAATGAGATTATTTTATTTTCATCAGCATGCAGCCATTAATCTGATTGTTTCTTTTTTCTGAAATATTTTAAGTTGAGTTTGGTGGCATGACTTTCTTTTGATGTTTTGTGGTTGGACTATTCTCTATTTTTTATTATACTACGGAAAAGAGTGCCACAAATTTCATATGGTCTCTGGTAGAGGGTGGATTTTTGCATCCAATTGCTATTAAAAATGAAATGGATATTTCTCATATTTAATTATTGGATGATGGCTCTGTATGTGTATGGATCTATGGTACATGGTTGATGTTCATTGATAATGAAATTGATATTTGCCGTTTACATTTGTCTTTTCTTTTCTTGGTGTTTCTCTTCCTCGTCCTTTGTAGAAGTTCTCGTTTTATTTTAATAATTCAAACTTTTGTTTTATTATCTCATTTTGTATTGATTTCGGCCTTTCTTTTTCAACCAGCAAATGGAGGAACGGAGTGAGTGGAAGAACCGGTGGCAGGTCCAATTGTCAGAGCTGAAGAGAAGAAGCATGAATAAGAACGCTCACGGGAATATGTCGTGGGGAGCACGGATGCGGAGGCAAAGAACCGACTCATCATCCACCGAATTATGAACGAGTACTTAAATTTTTCCTTGTACATAGCCTTTAACCTTATACGTGGGTTTGATGGGAAAATACTTGAGTACTGTTTGGTTAGTATTGCCTTTATTTTTTCCTGTTTTTTGATGGGGGTTAGAATTGCCTTAACTGGCAAGATCAGTACTTCCAAAATGTTAATCCAGCAGTATTATTAAGATTAAAGATAGTTTATATACCTGACCGGGCCATATCAACCTCAACTATGGGGAAGATCTATATTGTACATGTAGGATCAATAACTGTACCTTTTTTTTGTTTTTGTTTTTGTTTTTGTTTTTTGGGTGTAAAAAAATATCTTTGCTTTGTTGTTTGAGATGAAATTAGTGTTGGCTCGATGTGATTCAGATCTTTGGCATTATTTGATGTTTGGTATTCCCATTATTGTGCTTGTACTTTCGGGCCATGCTTTCTGGGAATCCTAGGCACAACACAACCCTTCTGCATTTGTATGTTCTTATGGTAGGCCTCATTGGGAACCTTCATTCTTTTTAATTATATATTCATGTTTTCCTTATCATTGCCTCTGATTTAGATCATGTTCCTTCTAGCTATGGTCTCCACTGAAGGCCTGTTTGTTTTGGGTGATTGAGGTGGGAATTAAGATAGACATGGGACTCACTACAATGGTGTTTGTTTGCAAAATAGTCTAAGGTCTCGTTTGTATTTAGAGATAGAATGGAGAGAATTCATAATGAGTGGATTAAATAAAATTGTTTTTGTTTTGATGATAGTTGTTAGTATTGGATTGTTAAATTATTTTTATATAACATAAATATAAAATAATAAAACAAATAAAAAAAATACAAAAACATTAAACATTAATGTTAAAAAAAAATATATGTAAAAAATAAAAATAAAATGTGAATGATGGTATGTGTGTGGGGGTTGAGAAAATGAAAATGTGGACACTGTTGATTATACAGTCAATTTATTGTTGGATTTTTTTTTTTTTTGTTCATCTTTTTGGCTTGTGTTTTTCTTAAAGTCACAAATAATTTGAATAATGTTCCACTTAATTTTATCACTGGACACAATAAAATAAAAATAATTAAATAAATTAAATTTAATAAGCACACATTTATGCACTATATTTGATTAAAATTCTAATACCACCTCCTCTATTCAAATTTCTCTTTTAAGGCCTATCATAATATCAAGGGATTAAGAATTCCCTCTCTATCTCTCAAAACAAACATGACATATAATGCGTCTTATTTCACTATTAATCCTAATCTTCTCTCTATAATCTTAAACAAACGAGTCTCATTTCATTATCAATTCTAATCTCCGCTCTATAATCCTAAACAAACGGAGCTCAAGGGATTATAAAAAGCCGTCATGGTGGGATTAATAGTATCCTCCAAGGGAAATGGTATTGGAAAACAATTAATTTAATATTTTGCCCAATTGTTATACTCTTTCCTCTATTATTTTTTTAATCATTTCACCATTTTTTACCCGTACCATTCTTTATATGAAAATAATTTTTAATATTAAAATAGAATAATATTTATATCAAAAAAAATATGATAGTATAAAAATATATATATTTATGAAATATAAATTTAATATTAAAATATATAAAAAAATATTAAGGATATTTATGAAATTTTATATAGTTAATTTCATCATACAATGACAATACAAACATAAATATTTCTTAATCCAATGATTATTAAACAAACATAATTTTATTTTATTTAATTTTATTTTCCCCACTAACAATTCTACATAACCAACTTTAAAAACAAACAGCGCCGAGGGTATAGCCCAGTTCAAATCTGGACTTTTCTTAGAATGTTCTCATAGGGGAACACATCCATCATTGTACTCCATTTGTCTTTGTGGAAATTTAAAATAATATACAAACTATGAGAACTTACTAACTATTTATATGTGGCATAAAATAATGAAGTTTTGGTGTTTAAGGCACCATAAACTTTTTACTAAAGTAAGTTGGTTTAAGCATTTTGAGTGGTGCTTGTTGGCTATTTAGGTTATTTGGGTCAATAAGCGGTGGGATCTCACAAAATAATATATTAGAATTGCATGATAGGAACATTTCAAATGAGTAGGAAACCATAATTCTACAGATATAGAACCTATTGCAAAAAAGAATGGTGGCCATACACATTACAGGGTGAGATTGGTGACTAATGAGGATGCTTTACTCTTCTTGTTTCACTTTTATTTTTTATGGTAAGTTTTGTGGTTAGACTTCTTTTAAAAGTTAGTTTACTGGTTAAAAATAAATTAACAAAAAGTTAATGCTAAAAAAGTTGTTTATTTGGTCTATTATTATTCTTTTGACTTTTCTAATAAATTTTTAGAATCGCAAAAATTATTCTTTTGGCAGAAAATAGATAGCACTATTAGCGACTCAGATAAGAAAAAAAGAACTACTAGCATAGGAATGACAACATCTTCTGTATTAGACGAATCTTGGTAGTTATACCACTCAAAGAACGGATTATCGTATATCTCTGGATGGTATATGTGCACCGGTCTGATGCCCAAATGATTTGAAGTTTTTTTTTTTAAAGCAATTTGTTTTTTTTTTTTAAAGCAAATTTTTTTTTTTGCAAAGAGGTTGTATAATATTATTTGATAGAAAATTATTTGTAGCCATCGTATGCTTTGACAGGAAAATTAGTGGGTGGCCTATCAACTTTAATTGTGGGCAAGTTAGCAGTTAGTTTCAGTATAATACATGAAAGTGAATGATGGTATGTGTGTGGGGGTTGAGAAAATGAAAATGTGGACACTGTTGATTATACAGTCAATTTATTGTTGGATTCTTTTTTTTTTTTTTTTCTTTTTTTGTTTTGGTTTGTGTTTTGGCTTGTGTTTTTCTCAAAGTCACAAATAATTTGAATAATGTTCCACTTAATTTTATCACTGGACACAATAAAATAAAAATAATTAAATAAATTAAATTTAATAAGCACACATTTATGCACTATATTTGTTTGAAAAAATATATATGTTCGATAAATTATAGTAAATCCTTTTAAATTATATTTACATTTTACCTTCTTAAACTTTAAAATTCAAAAATTAAATTATGATCTATTTGTTTTTTATCCCCTTAAATTTTAAAACTCAATGTTTTTTTTTTTTCTTTTTTTGTTTTGGTTTGTGTTTTGGCTTGTGTTTTTCTTAAAGTCACAAATAATTTGAATAATGTTCCACTTAATTTTATCACTGGACACAATAAAATAAAAATAATTAAATAAATTAAATTTAATAAGCACACATTTATGCACTATATTTGTTTGAAAAAATATATATGTTCGATAAATTATAGTAAATCCTTTTAAATTATATTTACATTTTACCTTCTTAAACTTTAAAATTCAAAAATTAAATTATGATCTATTTGTTTTTTATCCCCTTAAATTTTAAAACTCAATAGTTAATCATTTCAAAATATTATCTTGTTATAGTTAACTTAAAATCAGATAATGTATAACGCACTTGACATATTTATTAGAATTTTAAAGTAATAATGCCCTTATTTGGTAATCCCATTTAAAATTTGCTAGAAACAAAGTATGAATGAGATCACCTAAAAATTGTATTATTATCTCAAAAAATCAATAATGGATATTATTATCTTAATTGTGTGTCATGTATTTGATAAATAACCTGATTCTGTTTAAATTCTTAACAAAATCTTAACGAAGTGTAACAATATAATAGTTTGAAATGGTTTATTATTGAGTTTTGAAACTCAGAGGAATAAAGTGCAAATGCATCTTATATAATTGAAGTTCAAGGAGGTTTACTATAATTTACCCATATATATTTGCACATAAAATAATTATAGAATGAATCACAAAAGACTCACAAGTAAGTCATCCAAATCTGACATGTGATTATTGTATTAATTTAATAAATCACGTCATTTATATATTATTATATCTCATGATAATAAATAAAAAAAATTAAGTAAAACATTATTCAAACTGTTTGCCATGGAAAAAAAAAAAAGAAAAAAAGAAAAAGAAAAAGAAAGAATAGCAAAACGATGCCGCATGAGGCTTACAGGGGTGGTGTTGTGGAACAGTCAAGTTGATATAGCTCAAATAGAGAACAGACCCAGAGTAATTGGTAGCCCCACACACCAATACATACAGCTGCCTATATATCATTACGTCATATGCATGTGTGGGAGAAAACAAAGAGCCCAGAGCATTCTCATCTTGTCTCCGGTCCCCCTTCACTGGTCCCCTTTTTCCAGATACATATGATTCATCCTTACCCACTCTGAGTCACCCAAACCTTTGTTTCTCTCTCCATATATCAGTTTTTTAATTTGTTAATTATTTTAAATCTCGTTTAGTAGCTTTCAATAGGTCAAAAATTCCTTATAAGTTGTCACATTTCTCTTTATTTTATTATATATCTTTTTATAAAAAATTAAAACATTACAAAGATAACGTATTCCCAAGCGAAGCCTAAGTTTGGGACTTTGACTTTTTTACCTTTTGTGAAAGAAAAAATAAAATAATTATGAATTGGATGTGACATTTTGTCCTATTTAACTAAAATAGCATATTTTGTCTTATATGGTTATTTTAGCTCCAACCTTTATCCCAAACGGGGCCTTAGTGTGTTTGGTTTTAATTTTCTAAATGTAGTTTTTTAAAAATTATGTTTTTTTTTGTTTTTTTACATATTTTTTTTTTGTTTTTAGTGAATATTTTTAAAATTTTAAGTAATTTTTTACTTTTTGTAGATACACCTTATTTAGATGTATCTAAATAGTAAAATATTTATAAAAAATTAATAAATATACAAAAATATGAAAAATGTACAGAATTTATATATATATATATATATTTGTATTTTTGGTATTTAACGAATTTTTTAAAGATTTTTTTCACGAATATTATACTTTTTAAGTGTATTTATATTAGGCGTGCCTAAAAATTAAAAAAATTACTTAAAATATTTTTAAAAATTCAATGAAAATAAAAAAATACGGAAAGTGAAAAAATAAAATTTTCTAAAAAGAAAATTATGAAAACTGTAACCAAACAAAATAATAATAATTATTATTATTATTATTTCATTTTCTTATTTGATGATTATCACTCCAACATATTGGGTTTAATTTGAATTTTTTTTTTTCTTTTAGTTTATAAATTTAAAATTTAAACACAAATAGAAGATTGATAGTAGAACTTATTGGCCAACACAATTATATTTAAGTCACATGTGTTTTGAATATTGCGAAGCAATTACTTGAATGGTCGATGTTCATCTTGAAAATTTTTGTTTGTTTTTTTCTTATACAAATTTATAAATAGTTTCACAAACTAATCTCGCTCCCATATTA